GGGGGGGGGGGGGGGGGGGAGGGGGGAGGAGGAAATTTCTGTGCTTTGTTTTGTTTGGTTCAACAGGAGCTGATCTTCTCTCGGGAGACGGTCAAAGATAGTCATTCATGCCGAAATTAGGATATTTGTGGATAAATCGTCATTGCCTGCCCCAAGAGATTGCGGAGATTCAAACTCAGTTCGTCCCCATTACAGCTTGAGCTACCCTTGGCTTAAATTTCTGTGTTTTGTGTGAACTTGGCAGAAGATTTGTGTATTAATTTATTCTTTATGTGCATTGTTATTTCCTTTTCCATGGCAATGGGATTGATTAAGTGAAATTTCGAAGGCACCCATTTGGTAGAACTATCTGTAATGCAAAGAATTGTTTCTGGTTTTAGTCCAAGTGGGTGCCTTTGGTTCTTATTTGTGGAATGAGACTATTTTTCACTGCAAAAAAATACTTTCAATTGCCGCAAAACTTGTTTCGATATGTATTATGTTATTATGAGGTCAATCGGGACAATTTTCTATTGTAGATCATAAATTTTACATGAATTGGTTAAACCCCCAATTTCAGAATTTGATATTCTTTACTTTCCAATGATGGTCTTTTGTTTCTACAAAACAATTACCAGTGAAGGAAGATTTCAGGAGGCAAGGCCATGGGGAAGCATTGCTGAAGGCTGCAATTCAGAAATGCAGAACTAGAAATGTCCAGCGCATATCGCTCCATGTTGATCCCACAAGAATTCCAGCCCTGAATCTCTACAAGAAACTTGGTTTCCAAGTGGACAATCTCATTGAAGGTTACTACTCTTCAGATCGAAACGCCTACAGAATGTACTTGGATTTTGACACTGACTAGTGGAACTCAAACTTTCTGCAATATCAACATGCCGAATCACCATCCAGCAGGATAACAAGAAGCATTATGATCAAGTCAGTGCATTTTCAGTACTAGCTCCGTTGAACTTAAGAGCTGATGTTGTTGTCCGAGGGTATGATGGATGCCATAGCTTCTAAGTGGCCTCAACAGCACTCTCTTGATGCTGCAAACTCCAAGTTCAGTGACAACCAATTATTCCTCTGTTTTCGTTTTGATTACACCTGTTTGTAACGCAAGATATGAATCGAATGTGGTAAGTTTACATTAGCAAAAATAATCTTTTCTTCCTACTTGTCAGCAAAGCCCGTATAACAGCACAATTTTGTGAGTTACTCTTTCCTCTTATTTTGATAGAATCTAATCATGCTACCACAGCTGTGTCCTCTACTTCTGCCGAATAATTTTGTTGTTATCTGTATCAGCTGTCTTTGAGAATTTGGGAAAGTAATTGTAAAGGCAAGTAAACAGCCTTCAATTTACCCGTGGGATGGTAGCTTTAGTTTTTTAATCTCTCGACTCTAGTTGAATAAGAAAGTCCTCATATCTTATAATTTGTGACTCTCTCTGATGCAATCCGTAGGATGCTAAAGAAGAGAGAAATTCAAACATACGAAGAACTATTAAATTTGACTTTTCATCAAGATAAAGACTCGTGTAAAACTTTGCATAATTTTATTTGTGTCTTATTTTTAATTTAGTTTGATTGTGTTTAACATTTTGTATGTGTTAGAATCAAGAGTATTTATGTAATTTCTAGAATTTTTGAAATTGGTCTAATTTGGCCACGATTTGTCTTTAGGATCAAATTCTAATATTGTATATGTTACAATTTACAGTCATAGGTCTAGTTTATTTTAGTTTTTTAATTGAAAAATGCTATAGAAACCCAAATGGTTGAAACTCAAATACATGTCATCTATTGGATGAATGTTGAATAAGTGGGTTTCACTGAAAAAGTTGATGGGATTCACTTATTCAATAGATAATATGTATTTGGATTGTAATTTTTTTGGTTTTAATTAGGTTGTATAAAAAGAGAGAGCGAGATATTAAAATTTTCAGCAATTATATGTTTTTGAATTAAATTATTTAATTCTAACTCTAGGTATGATTCCTAAAAACCCTTGGAGTAATTCCTAGTCAAATTNCCATCAAGATAAAGACTCATGTAAAACTCTGCATAATTTTATTTGAGTCTTATTTTTAATTTAGTTTGATTGTGTTTAACATTTTGTATGTGTTAGAATTAAGAGTATTTATGTAATTTCTAGAATTTTTGAAATTGGTCATAATTTGGCCACGATTTGTCTTTAGGATCAAATTCTAATATTGTATATGTTACAATTTACAGTCATAGGTCTAGTTTATTTTAGTTTTTTAATTGAAAAATGCTATAGAAACCCAAATGGTTGAAACTCAAATACATGTCATCTATTGGATGAATGTTGAATAAGTGGGTTTCACTGAAAAAGTTGATGGGATTCACTTATTCAATAGATAATATGTATTTGGATTGTAATTTTTTTGGTTTTAATTAGGTTGTATAAAAAGAGAGAGCGAGATATTAAAATTTTCAGCAATTATATGTTTTTGAATTAAATTATTTAATTCTAACTCTAGGTATGATTCCTAAAAACCCTTGGAGTAATTCCTAGTCAAATTTAGTATTCACAGCATTATTACTATTCATGAATACTATTCAAAGTCCTCAACACAACAGCCTTAATTTTAATTTGGCATAACTGTCCTGCATCACTCTCTCCGACGTAGCTATAAACATAAAGATAACAGACATACAAGCTCTATCTATCAATGGGCCAAATAGAAAAGGAAATAAGAAAATTTAATTGGTGAAGGATAAAAAACAAACCAAAAATGTTGCTGCCCAGGATCGAACTGGGGACCTTTAGTGTGTAAGACTAACGTGATAACCACTACACCACAGCAACTTATTGTGTGAGCTAGGTGTAATATAATATAAATTATTAAAGATAGTGCGCACATATGAGTGATCAAGTACAGTTAATAATATCTTTAATGATATATATTTAAGTTACTATACCACTACCCTTTATAACCTTTTGGTAATACAAACAAAATCTTTTCTAGGGCAATTTTTCTTTTAACTACAGCTTGTATAAACCGTTTTGTAAAGATTGTTGACTTTATAAAAAGAAATAAATTTTGTTTGTTTGACTAAATTTTAAAATCAAATTATGTGGACCAATCTAGACTTCAAGGACCATTGGTATAATTTACCCTATCTTTGTTGATAAAATTGATTCCATATACCTTGATTTAAGTGTTTCTACAAGATTTGCAGGCTATAAAGCTCACTTCATCTGCCAGCATCTAACAGCAATGTCAAACGAAACATGTAGACAGAAACCTACTCTTCTATTCTATTCTATTCTCTCTCCATTTCCCCATATTCTGGGGGAAGAGAGGAAGAAAGCAAACCAAGTTTTAAAAGCTCATATTAGCTCTACTTCATTTAGGGGGCAACAATCAAACAGCTAATAATTCACCCACAAAATTTACAACAGAAAAAAAAAATAGTAATCAAAAAAGGGACAACTAAAACAAACTAATGTTGAGATACTTGGGAAAACTAGAGTAAGAGACTATTAGAGAAGGGGAAAATGCTCTTTCACAGCCTATGCTGCATACAACAAAGGACCAAAACAAAGCTGCTTTTATTCTGCATTACTAGTGGAAAAATACTTTAAGATGGAACGATGAATTAGTGGGAAAAGTGGTTAGAAACATAGAAATTGGATAGTCATCAGGCACTTGAGGCTGATTCAGTTACGGTGACCTCCTCGCCTTCAACACCAGTTGAATCCTCCAGTTCGAGTGTTGCATGAGCACCATTAGTAGCACCATCTTTGGCAGGTGAAACAGGATTGTCCCCGGCAGTAGCTGGAGATGGTGCTGGGGTAGTATCTTTCCCATCTATAGCATCTTTCCCATCCTGGGCTGCTTTCGGGGTAGCAACTTTCCCATCCTGGGCTGCTTTCGGTGTAGCAACTTTTCCATCCTGGGCTGCTTTCGGGGTAGCAACTTTTCCATCCTTGGCTGCTGTTGGGGCGCCAACTTTCCCATTCTTGGCATCCTTCCCTTCCTTTGCATCCTTGCCATCTTTTGCAGGTGTCGGTGGGGGAGGCATCATGTGAGGTGGTGGGGTTTGCTTCAGCTTCACAAGGATTTGCCGCATCCTTGTCAGATCAGTGGGTTTGCCAGGTTTCGGGCCATGAATGACCACAACTGAAGGCTTCTTTTCATCATCCTTCTTCCCTCTCCTCTTCTCAATATTAGGGACCTCACGAGGAATGAGCTCTGCAATTGCTTTCCAATATTGTTTGTCAACTTCTTTGTGGAACTTCTCTTTGTTGGCCAAGTAGAGCTGCACCAAAACAGTAAGTCATTTGTTTCAATGCAAAATATACTACAAACACGTAAGAGGAACATATTACCAAAGCTGCCAAAAATGTAAGAGGAAATGGATAAATCATATTTGGTGGTTCTACCTTCTCACTTTCTCTGTTCTGAGCCTTGTTAGTTTCGCAGTTGAGCTTTCTTTTCTCATAAAAAGATCGCTTGTACTCCTCAGCTTCATTGATGATCTGATTTCTCATCTCCTTCTCCTTCTTCTCCTTTTCCTCGAGGTAGATGGCATTTTGGCTGCACTAACAGATTGAATAAGTCTCTAAATTACATAATGACCTGGATATCCAAATGAATTCTGAAATCATTGGACACGCTATTCACCCTTCTAATGGTAGAACCATACAGGACCATGCAACCCGAAATAACAGAGAACAACATCAACAACAAAATTAAGTACAGGCAATCTGATGTATATCGTATTAGGGAAGAATTAGGGATGAGAAGGGAAGAAGAAAGGGATTAGAAAAGAAGAACAAGGAGATGAGAATAGCGAGAATTTTAGAAAGAAAATTCAATATCAATAATCAATAATCAAAGTCTACCCAAAACAAATAACATATCTCATATATATATAGGGAGACCACAAATCCTAAAAGAACTCTAAAAGAAATAAATAGTCATAATGACAACTAAACTCCTGAAAAGTATAATGACAAATAACTCATAATTCTTACGCCTACGCCTACTATAACGAAATATAATCCGATTCTTATCATTTCCCCCCAGCTGAAAGAACTCGCCTCCGGAGAGATACGATCATGATATGCTCTAGAAGATCAAGGTCAAGCCGACGAAACTCCTCCTCAGTAATCCACGAATCATCAATCTCTGAACGATTTTTCCACCGAATAAGATAACGATGATATCCTACATCCGAGGAGCCCACAATCTGATCATCAAGTACATCTGCGATTTGGTCATGCAGCTGTGGTGGAAACAGTGAAAAAATAGGAACTGTAGTTGATGCTGATGACGAAGCAAGTCCACTTGTAGGAACACCTGCTGGAAACATAGGAGGCTCAAAAGTACCGTGATAAGGATACAAGTCCTCCACATTAAAAATAGGACTAATACTCATATTCGAAGGTAAGTCAAGGTGATATGCATTAGGTCCAAGCTTACGAAGAATACGAAAAGGGGCCAGTGGCTCGAGCATGTAACTTTTTGAAATAATTTTTAGGGTAACGTTCAGGACGCACACGAACCATGACAGTTTTCCACAATAAATTCTTTATTCCTACGATGAACATCTGCAGCCAATTTATAATTCTCATTACTTAATATAATTTTCTGTTTTATGTCGGCATGCAAGTCATGAATATGCTGGACAAAAGCTTCGGCTGNACCCACTCGGTGGTGAAGAACAAAAGTATACTCCTGAAGGAACTCAACCCACCTAACGTGCNTTTTATGTCGGCATGCAAGTCATGAATATGCTGGACAAAAGCTTCGGCTGAGTGTGAGGGACAGGAATTAGGAGGTAAAAGTAATAAATCAATGGACTGTCTAGGGGAATGACCATAAACAATCTCAAAAGGGGATAGACCAGTCGTCCTGTTGACGGAGTTATTATAGGCAAATTCAGTAGTAGGTAACAACAAATCTCAATTTTTCATCTTCTCATCCACTAGACACCTAAGCAAATCTCCTAAGCTACAATTGGCTACCTCAGTTTGACCATCAGTTTGGAGATGAAAGGCAAAAGAAAACTTAAGACTAGTTCCATAGAGTTTTCAAAGTGTCTTCCAAAAATAACTCACAAACTTGACATCTCTATCAGACAAAATGGAAATAGGCAACCCATGTAGTCGGACGACCTCTCTAAAAAATAACTTTGCTACATGTGAGGCATTAGTAGACTTAGTGCAAGGAATGAAATGGACCATCTTAGAAAACCTATCCACGACAACTAGAATGAAATCATGATTACGGGTTGTTTTAGGCAATCCTAAGACAAATTCCATACTAAGGTTTCTCCATGGTGTGTGTGGAACTGGTAATGGTGTGTACAACCCCATGTTTTGTTTCCTAGCCTTTGCTAACTAACAAGTGCGATACTGTGACACTATC